TAATCCACAAATTTTGTGAAAATGAGATAAGTATATACAAATGAAACGCAAGGTAACAAGAAACTCCACAATAATATATTAAATGTAAAAAATATAAAAAAAAATACAATACTCATCTACAGTTATTTCATTACAGCATGTAACATCTTCAGGATGACAAGAAATTATATTTGACAGATGACAACTACTTGATCTAATATTATAATAATTAGTTGTTATCTGTTAAATATAATTTCTTGTCACCCTGAAGATGTTACATGCTGTAATGAAACAATTGTAGATGAGTATTGTATATTTTTTATATTTTTTACATTTCATTTGTATTTACTTATCTCATTTTCACGAAATTTGTGGATTACGCCTATTGACTTCCAAGACGATTATATTTTAAACATATTTTTTTCACTTGTCAGAATTCGTACTGTGCAATCGTTATTCTTCGCATTTTAATGTGAGCTACTCGTAACATGCATATTTTCTCTTTATTTATGCAATTATGTTAATTGCTACGGATTTTTGTGTTTCTTTTATTTTTGTATGATTTACAATGTTTTTATCTAAATAAGTTATTTATATTAGTTATTGTTTCATTTATGTGAGTTATATGCAGGGTGTGTCCATTCATTGATAGTTTATATACATTTATATTTTCTGGGATCATTTTTTACGTACATTCCGGGTGGGCAACTACGAACGGGGAGGGCCCAACCAAAAATCGAAAAAAATTCAAAAACAAGTTATACGAATAACATTTTTAAGGATTTCTAAAATAATTTCACATAAATAGTTTTCCACTCAAACAATACACCTGGTTATTTGGCAGTATTCATATTTAACGGTCGGTTTTTTTACCTACATTTATTAGTTTTAAATAACATTTTTAAATATAGCTTTTAAAAAATTAAGTAGTAGTCAGTATAGTGACTTGAAATTGCAAAATACTCGTTTGTTGAAAAAGTTCTTCAATTAGAATTCAGAAATGTAATAAAATACAGGCTTTTCATAAAAAAATTGAACTTCAACTGGAGACCGACTGTATGGACACCCCTGTATATGTGAAAATATTGTAGACATCCTTAAAAATAATATTCTCAAAATTTGTTTTTGAAAAAAAATTGTAGGTAGCCAGGCACGGCCGACTCCCCCCTATTTTCATTAATAAAATTTTGAACATGCAACGCCCTGTTTGTAAAGTTGAACAGAAGTAACATTTTTTAAACTTTTTTATAATTTCAATGTTTTCTTATTTGTTTAACCCTTTTTTTTTGTTTTTAATAAATCCATTGAAAACTAACTAATTTTTATATTTCGCATTTACTACATTGTTTTGTTTATCTCTAGTCATATAATAACTCTGAATATATATTACTTATTTATATTGGGGTTTTTCCAAAATAGATTGTCCTAATGTTGCTGGGGCATATTGCGCCAATGTTCTTCCTACCTGAAAGTCCAATAATTGTATAAAATTAACAACCAATATAAACTACATATTGGCTTTATACCGACTAAATATGTATATATTAATCTGATTATATATTGTAAAAAAACTATAATATATAATCAGATTTATATATACATATATAGTCGGTATATAACCAATATATAGCTTATATTGGTTGATTGTATAATTATTGGACTTTCAGGTAGGAACAACATTGGCCCAATATGCGCTAGCAACATTAAGGCAATCTATTTTAAAAATATTACCCCAATATTTATTACCAATATTACCCTAATATTTATTACCAATATTGGGGTTATATATTTTGCCAATATTGGCCCACAATTGTAAACCAATATTGGGCCTATATGTTTTGCCAATATTGGAGCAATATTCGCCACCCTATTTTGGGTTTCATTGGTCTGCCAATATTGGCGCAATATGTGCCGGCCTATTTTGGGTTTGATTGGTCTGCCAATATTGGCGCAATATTCGTTTCCAATGTGTGACCGTGAAAACCCTTAATTAACTACCAATATTGGTGCTATATAGCCACAATATTGGTACGCTGTTTCAACCCATCGTAGTAACCAATATTGCGCCAATATTGGCGCAATATTGTCGGGCCAATATAGGTTCTCTAGGCTCGGCAATATTGCCCAATATTGGCGCAATATTCCTTTCCAATGTAACCTAACGTTGGCTAAATAGTGGGACAATATTGTGCAATATCCCGCCAATATTGGCCGTATATTGGAAAGCGTTAACAATTTTTTCTAATTCCAATATTGTTGAATATTGGCGGCAACATCTGGCCAATATTGCGCCAATATAAATTTCTACTAGGCTAATCTTTAATATTTTAGGCGAAAATCCAAAAAATCGGGATTAAAAGCACAAACTTCGATTTCAGAAGTCCAAAAGAAAAAGATAAAAAAAAGGCAAAAAGTTTTAAATAGATAAGAGGCAAATATTAAGTAAATACCAGGGATTTCTATAAATTCTAAGGTGGATGACCTGATTAATTTTTAGGAAAAAAGAAAAAAAGAAATTAGTAGTTTTATGTTATTTCAATGACAACCAAAACTGTCGAAATTAATGACTTTTGGTAAACAAAAACAAAGCCAAATCTTTCAAAGATGCAAATATGGTTTTATCTTAATAAATAAATTTAATTTACAAAATATATTTGATTTTGAATATGAGGTATTATGATCCAAAAAGGTATATTTATACTTTATTAAATTTAGTTTTAAATTGTTATTCTAAAGCTTTATTTATAGGTATGAAATTAAAAATAGGCGGTACTATTTTTAAAATCGTAACAACACACAGACATAATCTCGAAAATAGTTAAAATGGATTCAGGAAACCTCAAAACGTAAAAATCCTTCAAAAACTAGAGGTCGAATAAATCATGATTCCAATACTTTCCTTATCTGTATACAGACAGAAAAGTAAAACGGAAGACCACTGATAATTCCAAAATTCAAAACTAAATTACTAAAAATTCAAAGATTCTAACATTGCCAAAATTAACTTCGAAAATTTAAGTTCTATACGGCGTATCCTTTTTTTCATATTAACTTCATATAAATTTTCGTTATGTTAGACGCTTTAAATTTTTAATAATTTAGTTTCGAATTTTGAAAGAAAAAAGCACCGAAAAAAATGTATCACTTTCTAGTAACAACAATACCTCTTGTATTTTTTCAGCTTAAGAATAGAGAAGTTACATGGGGCCCACTTACCGATATATACCTGTAATCTACACAATGTACTAAGCAACTTCCAGTGAGGGAAAACTGCTAAAATTAAACTTTAAAAAATTTATTTTACCAATAAAATTTTATCTTCTTGGTTATATAAGTTTTGGTTGTTCCTGTGTCAACCTTTGAGTCTTCGACGTCTCTCAGACAGTAGCTAGGGGGTATATAGCTTATAATTCCAGAAAAAATAGACATATTCAAGGGCGCCAACTAAGGCTCTATAATGATATAACTTTATCTTATCTTCCAACGAAAACCCAATAAATTAAAAAACAATAAAAGATAAACTTCAAACTTATGTTCCCTTATAATCAATTTACCAAATTTACCCAATAAATGCCAAGAATAACAATTTATAAATTATTATTAAGGAAACTAAATTGTAAACATACACAATATGTTTGTCATCAAACAAATTCAAAATGATTGTTCAAAAGGTGACTTAAAAATACAAATTTTAAGTTGTTAAAGCATATATTAGGAATAATATAAAGATGTTCAATAAAAGAATATTGCAAAATTATATAGAATATCAAATGTCAAAATATTTAGTGACACTTTTTATAAAATACATTAATATTTTTTTCTATTGTGCATCATAGAAATTTTGTAAAAAAACATTTTGAAGTAACCTTAAAATAAGAGATAATATCATTGGGGGTAAAGAAGAAGAGAAAGACGTATGACTTGACAAATGACACGTGTGTTGCAATTTTATTTTGCCGTTGAATATGATATGATCTCTTGTTTTATTCGGCTTTATTTTGAGTGGTATAGTTATCTTTATTAATGAAGTAAGTGTTTGTGTAAATAATTGTGGTATTTGATATCAAAATTTGGCTATTTCTTTGGGTAAGTAATTGCTTTATCTGCATTAAATAAAAGACAAAAAAGTAGTACCTGATACCGACATCTCGACAAAGATGTGTAAGATTTTAAGAGTTCTACTTCTATAACGAGTACTGATATTTCCACTTGTGAAGATTTTGATCACTTAGCAGCTACAGCCAAATCATGTACTATTCCCTGTAAATCAAAATATTCATCTAGTCTAAATTTTCAAGTCTCTTCAAATCTTTTTTAAGTTCCAACGCTTGCTCTATTTTTTTAAAAGTTTCAGATTTTAATTTACCTGCAACTACTATAGAGGCATTTCAATTAATTTAAAATGAACTCGAATAAAAACAGAACGGTATACAGAGAACAAATTCATAACACAAGAACACCAGTCAGAAGGATCGGTTGAGTTATACAAGGACATCAAACAGTCAAACAATCAAACGGGAGTTTATGATTCCCCCTGTATACAGAAAATAAATTTTTCTACATATATTAAAATTAATTTTCAAAAACAAATAAGTTGAAATAAGTAAACGGTTCAAAATTTAGGAAACAATTAAGCTCAACCCTGTATACAGAAAATTTTTTTTTACATAAATTAAAATTAATTTTCAAAAACAAACAGGTTGAATTAAATAAACGGTCCAGAATTTAGGAAGCAGCTTGCTCCACCCTGTATAGAGAAAATATTTTTTTTTTACATAAAATAAACATAAAAGACAATGATAATGATACCAGTAGTTATAGCCAGGAAAGTGACTTTTACAGATAGTTCTTGAACTTTTTTTTATCTTTAATTTTAGGTATGTGTTACATTTAATGTAAATGACTATTTTGAAGACTAGCCTAGCCCTGATTTTCACATTTTTTTATATTTTATTTTTCTGTATGTCTAGATTTAAGAGGTAAAAATTAATATAGGTATTAGATTTATATTTCTTTATTTTAAACATTTCTAATTATAAATACACCACATATTTATCATTTCCTTAATTATTTTTATTTTCTGCGCCGTCATATTTTTTAATTTGAGGAACTATTTTTTTCTGAATGGAAAGCAGCGGTTCTTCTATTACTAAAGTAATCAGTATTCCAAAAGCCAATGATGCTGGTATCACAAAAATGTAGTCTTTAACCTGAAATAGTAATAATATTTTTATTTTCATTGATTGTACAACTATTTAAAGTTTTTTAACTTTTACTCCAAGGTAAACATCCATATATTATATTATTATTATTATTATATAAAATATCTATTGTTTGTATTCGCTACCTAGAAAGGCTCCGCTTCACATTGGCAAATAGTACGGACCAATAATCATAGCCAGCGTGTAGATAGGACGTTTTAAGGTATCAGAGAGCTGACCAAGATCTTCAGAATATTTGAATTTGGCTTTAAGAGCAGTTGCTACACAGAACTTTGGCAGTTTTTGCCATGGTTACCATTATAAGTCAAATAATGATTGGTACCACGATACACAAATACCGGTATGTTCCTGCGCATGTTAGCTCTGTCACATGATATGACGTCACGTGGCATAAAAATCCGATGCATTTACATAGACAAATAAAAGTAACAAGACGTTCTCGATAATAAAAAACATTACTTCATTGTTAGAGGTCTCTTATTTAAAATTTCCAAAATCAACGCGTATCATTTATCTTTATAATTAGAAATAAAATTATACTAAAAAATAATTCTTATTAAAACGACAACCAAATACTGTTTGATTTATGCCACGTTACGTCATGCGCGTATAGGGCGAAATTCGGTTAAATTAGTAGCATACCGGTATTTGTGTATGGTGGATTGGTACTATACAGGGTGCGTAAACTGAAACGGTTGCCTCGTCCGGTTGCTATAGACGTGGATGTGATGTCACAGAATAAAAATCAAGCTGACAGAAAATATTCTGCCGGGTTCGTACAATATTTTATTATTATTATTATTATTATTATTATTTATTTATTTATTATTTTCGTACAGTATTTTTAATAACAGTGAGTATCAACTTTCTTAATCCTTCATATATTTTAAAAACTTCTTGTTCGAATGTAAGTATAAATAACATTTCATCTCTTAATTGGAAATTATTATAAAAATGTTACGTATTAACCACTATTTTATTTAGTTAGGTATCCTTTTTAATTTGTACCTGGGCAAAATTGGTGGAACGTCCGATTTGTGGCTCAATCAGATAAAATTTTAGATGAATCACTCTATGTAAATCCACAATCATGTTTGCAATCGAAAGGCATACGATTAAGTGGTATATGGGTATTTCAATAACTACAGCAGTAACAGGAATAGGAGTGTATAGGCCTAGAATAACGTATTCTAAAAGTTTGGGTATTTTCCAGGTATTTTCCAGGTAAAATTTACGGCTTGTAGTAGTGTTTCCAGTTCAATATCTAGAGACTTAATAAGCTTATTGGATCTCTTGCCGAAAGGACTGACACATCACACATGAGATATGCTAAGATAGTTTTGTGTGAATATAGCGAGAAAATATTAAAAACTTGAATTTGTCCGAGCAAGAAGAAGCTACGTATATTAACAGACATTGACGACTTAACACCTTAGTAACCTGGGGCTAGTAGAAGATAGTTAATAAATATTTTGTGAGAAAGAGGAGTACTAAACCTCCGTTCACATTCTGACCTAATGTGTAGCACTTCAGAATCCAAAGGCCACCATATTTAGGAGCACAAAATATAGAAAATAGCCATGTACCTAATTTGACACCTATCCAAAATCTAGATTTTATTGAAAAGATAGGATTGGCATGACATTAACATACCTCACAATAAATACTCTTACACTACAATCTGCAGTGGCCTGCGGCCGTTATAGGAAACGTACAAATACGAAAAGAAGTGCAATGTCAACCATCATACTATAGTGTGCTGCAATCACCATAAGTAAAAGTACGAGTAAAAGAAGACAGAATAGTCCAGAAATGTCGGGAAACGTCATTATTTGTCAAAAAAATTCTAGACATTTCGAGAAGGTTCGTGAAGGGTCAAGCAAGCTATATTAGCCGATGATCCTCACGTCAGTTTTCAGTTTTATGATAGACGGTATACGTTAATGTTATCAGTTGGATAGTTATTGTTAAAGTTGAATTGAGTTATTGTAAAGTTGAATTTAAATAAATTGTGATACCAAAAAACTGTGTAACAGTGGTGACAGCGGTGGGATACAAAGTAGAAGTTCATGGTAAATACTAGATCCAATGAGTACGAAGCAGACATAAATACTTCAGGCCCACTAGCATGGTTTTTGAAGATGGAAGAGGAGAGAGTAAGGTGAGAGGAGGAAAAGGAAAGGCGTAGGAAGGAAGAAGGGGATGAAAAGAAACGGCGTAGGAAGGAAGAAGAGGAGGAGAGAGTAAGGCGAGAAAACGAAAAGAAAAGGCATAGAAAGGAAGAAGAGGAGGACAAGGAAAGGCGTAGAAAGGAAGAAGAGGAAGAAAAGGAAAGAAGAAAGAAGGAAAAAGAGGAAGAAAAGGAAAGGCGTAGGAAGGAAGAGGAAAAAGAGGAGAAAAGGCGTAGGAAAGCAGAGAAAGAAATTATAAATGGTTTATTAAAAATTCAGGAAAATTTCAAGCAAGAGGTAGGTCAGCTTAACAGTCGAGTAGATATCTTGGCATAACAACAAGAGAACTAAAAAACTAATTTGGAAAATTTACAAACTAATTTAGAAGAGCAACAAGAGAATTTAAAAGCTAATTTGGAACAACAAAATAATCTAAAAACTAATTTAGAGCAACAAAAAGAGATTCTAAAAGCTAACTTAGAGCAGCAATACGAAAAGGCTAAAGCAGACTTGGAAAGGCAAATTACACTTGAAATAGTTGAGTTAGAAAGAAGAATTCGTAGCCAATATCCAGTAAGCAACGTTGTAGCTGAAAACACTACCTCGTCGTCATCTATAACCGAACCAAGCCACATTTAAATCCCAGTTTCACAAAACTATACTAGCAAGACCCTTAAGCCACCCACGTTTGACGGTCAGACAACATGAGCAAAATATCGACTCCAATTTGAAGCTGCAGCTAGAGCCAATGGCTGGACCGAGAAAGAGATGGCGGCTTCATTGATAGTATCACTGCAAGGTCAGGCAGCAACCGTTTTACAATTACTTCCCCAAGAAGAACCCAGTTATTCATATCTCGTCCAAGCTTTGGAGACAAGATATGACCTGCAGCATTTGCAACGGGTATTCTAAAGCCAGCTAAAGGTTCGTAGTCAGAAACATAATGAGAGTCTACAGGAATTCGGAGCTGACATAAGAATATTGATTCATCTGGCTTATCCGCAGGCGCCCAAAGATTTCCAAGAATAAATCGGAATAGAGACATTCATTGATGGACTACAAGATGCGGAAATGCAGCAAGTCATTCGTCTACAACATCACAAGACTCTGAAGGAGAAACTGATTGCAGCCCAGGAATATAAAGCGGTAAAACTCATATCCATATCTTCTCGCGCAAAAATGAGAGACATTAAATCCCAGGAGGGGACCCCAATGCTAATGCTATTCCCCAACCTACCCTATTACAAATGTTAAATGTCCTGCAAAATATACAACGAAATAGCCAAAATAAGAACAGATGTTTCAATTGCGAAAGAATGGGATACCTTCAAAGAACCTGTAGAAGAGCTCGTTCTATAAATAGAGAATCAGGGAATGAGGCCGGAAAGTCACAAAGATCAATCTTCCGAAGCATCATAAGTAAAGGTACGAGTAAATAAAGAAGATAAAATAATCCAGAAATGTCTCGAAATGTCATTCCTTGTCAAAGAAAAGTCCGGATTGTTCGAGAAGGTTTTAGAAGGTCGAGGCAAGCTATATAAGTCGACGACCTGACGTCAGTTTCAGTTTTATGATAGACGTTACATGTTAATGTTATCAGTTGTATAATTGTTGTTAACGTTGAGTTAAAATAAATTGCGATTCCAAAAACCTGTGTAACAATATGTAAAGTATAAAGTCTCAAAAGGGGATTAAAATTACCAAATCAAAGTTAAAGAAATGAAATTACGTGTAGAAAGTTTATATGCATTTTATGAACAAGAATAGGTAATTTAGACAATGTTGTTATCCTGAGAATAAGTTTATGATTTGGTGTAAAAATCACCGTTATTTTGTACGTTTGTATTTATTTTTGATATATGGGACAGGAGAATTTGGAAGATGACTGCAGTACAGTTGAAAATTCACCTTTCCTTAAATCCTATGTAACCTACACAGAGCGATATTAGTATAATGTAAACGTGAAGTGATTTATTTTCAGATATCTGTATGCATGTAATTCAATGCCCGTCGTCGGCATATAGTCGGGGGTGTAGTTGTTTTGCCTGCAGATACGGTCACTTCATAATTTGTTTTTACAGTTTTAAGTCATATCAGACTTAAACATGTAAATATGGGGCGATGCATGGATGAGAAAATGTAGTTTACATGATTAATTGCCTCGAATTTTTTTTTTATGAATGTGAAGTAATAAAAAATAAAATGACCGAAAAATATGTCCTTAGTGCGCATGAAAAGGTAGAATAAAAGTGAGTTTAATAAGTGTGTTTCAGTGGTAATGAGTAAAATATTTAAAAATTAAGTCTATCAACAATTACAAAAGTATTAGTAGAAGATTATTCCTATTATCATTAACATAGAAAGCCTTACAGTCCAAATAACATGAAGTTTAATTTCAATTTTGTATTTTGTATTTTTAATGTATACTAATAACTAATAGCTGCATAATCGAAAAATAACAAACAACATTTTATTAGTTTACTTTTAATTAAATGTCACAACTAATTTTGTTCTTCTATTACTTCTACAATGTAAAATTTGTTTTGACTTTTAGAATATTATGCTAATAATACATTAGCATCTTAATAGTAGATAAAGGCATTTTAAATTTTCTTATACAGGGTGTCCCAAAATTCCGTGTACATAGATCTACTATATGTTGGTGAGATCAAAATAAGTCGATTGAGCCAAAATTACCTATATCACAAAGTCCATCGTTTACCTGTGAGGAAGCTTCAAAGTTGGAAGAAAATTTTCATTTTTTTTTAATAACACAAAAACGCTTCGTTTGATTTTTATAAAATTTAATGTGTAGCT